TCCGAGCCCCAGGGATTCCAAGGTTCTCAAGGATGGCATGTCAAAGCCAGGCTCCTCGGTCCCGTATCCAACCAGGGGGATTTAGCATGCTGCATTGGGGCGATTTGGATTCGTTACGCCCACGTGACCCAGAATGATGTTTTACGAATCCGAATCGATGCCCCCCCCCCCCCTTTGAATTTTAGCCAGAAAGGTTCTGACGTCTCCAGCCCAGCCGCTGGCTCGGCAGGTGCGGCACCACAGGCGCCAGCAGCAGCAGCAGCAGCAGCTACAGCCATGCAGCGAGCGTCGCCAGCACCCTCGGCATGGCTGCCGAAGCTCAAGGCAGGTGAGCATCAGACATCGCTGAAGCGCGTTGGCAGCCTCGAGATCATGCCTTTGGCAGCCCGCATGAAGCTAGGCCTTGTACCCGATCGGGCGCCAATCGAGATCCCCGACAATGACTCGTGCGAGCCAGGGGCGGAAACCATGGCCCTGACTGAGAACGAGCTTGCGTTGGCGATGGGGATCTCTGCTGAGGGGGGCTCGCGTGATCAATATTGTGCTGATACGCGAGTGGAATTCTGAGTGCCATGCCCATGGACTTCGGAAACGATATCGATTCGCTCGGGGTGGATTGAAAGAAAAGCTGCACGTTGGTCCTGAGGAGGAGGAGGAGGACGAGGTTTCGAGTTTCCGAAGTGTGCGTAGAACATGTTTCGCTTGAGAGTTCATCGCAAGGTAACGAGACACACATAGGGGGCGCAGCCAACATATCAAACTTATGCCAGGGGGGGGAGGAGGAGGAGAAGGAGGATCAGGAGGACAAGGAGGAGGAGGGGGAGGAGGAGGAGGAGAAGGAGGAGGAGGAGCAGGAGGAGGAGCTCCGTCCAGGCCAGTCTCCGTCCAGGCTCCGTCTAGGCTCCGGCCAGGCTCCGGCCAGGCGGCCAGGCTCCGGCCAGGCCCCGGCCAGTCTCCGGCCAGTCTCCGGCCAGGCCCCGGCCAGGCCCCGGCCAGGCTCCGGCCAGGCTCCGGCCAGTCTCCGGCCAGTCTCCGGCCAGTCTCCGGCCAGTCTCCGGCCAGTCTCCGGCCAGTCTCCGGCCAGTCTCCGGCCAGGCTCCGGCCAGGCTCCGGCCAGGCTCCGGCCAGGCTCCGGCCAGGCTCCGGCCAGGCTCCGGCCAGGCCCCGGCCAGTCTCCGGCCAGGCTCCGGCCAGGCTCCAGCCAGGCCCCCAGGCAATGGCCAAGCTCAGGATCTGGTCAGTCCTCCTCCTACCTCTCTGCTCTCTGCCCCCTTCATCCAATCGCCCTTGGCCTCGCCCGCGCCCTCATCATCATTCTCAAGGGAGCAGCTTGGTGCTGCTTGATTCTGGCACACGTTTGGGCCGCCCCTTCTGCTACCTGCGTTTGTTCCCATTCCCAGATGCCAGCCTCTGCGTCGAAGCCCATCGACCCCCGTCGCGACGAAGCTCAGCGGCACTTCGTCAAGCACCTGCGCGCCACGAACACGTTCTTCAAGCATCAGAAGACGCTGAAGATCGCGTTCCCATGTGCAGGAGTGGGTTGCCCAGAGAGAGCAATCGCGGAGGCAGGGTGGAAGTGCGCGGCGCAGGAGTGCTCTGGGAAACAGAAATATGGGGATCACGTACCTGATGATGATGATGATGGTGGTGATGATGATGATGATGGTGATGGTGATGGTGCTGATGCTGATGATGATGATGATGATGATGATGGTGATGATGATGATGATGATCAGGATGATCAGGATGAAGAGGATGAAGATGAGGTCCTATGGCTGTCTGAAGGTCTGGAGGTCTAGAGGAGGAGGAAGAGGAAGAGGAGGAGGAGGTTCTATAGCTGCGCGGAGGTCCTGTGGCTTCCTGGATGCATGGAGGAGGAGGAGTAGGAGGAGGAGCAGGAGGAGGAGGAGGAGGAGGAGGAGCTCTTCCTCCTGCTCCACTTCTTCCTTCCTCTGCCTCGCACCAACTAGAAAATCGAAATATAAACAGTTAATCCCAATCCTCCTCCTCCTCCATCCTCCTCCTCCATCCTCCTCCTCCTGCGTCCTCCTCCTCCCCCCCCTCCCCCTCGTCGTCGTCGTGCCCCTCCTCTCCTCAAGTACTCCTACCCTGATCCCCCCCTCCTCCCCTCCCCCGAGGACGTCTTGGAGATCGACCCCAGGATTGGCCTCGCCCTCAAGGAACTGCACAGGTACATGCTCACGCCCGAGCACCACGTGCACGTGGGCCCCTTGAGGGGCGACGTCATCGGCCACGTGTTCCAGGACGACAGCGAGGTGATCGTCGCGGGGCCGCCATGCCCTCCATGGTCTACGGTGGGGCGCTGCGCTGGCCTCGATGACGACAGGGCGCGCGTGCTGGGCTCGGTCCTTCACGCCATCCGCAAGAGCGCCGCGAAGAACGACCTTCAGGTCTGTGTCTTGGAGAATGTGCTGGGCTGGCTCAACAAGTACAAGACTCAGGAGAAGACGGCCATGGCTTCCATCCAGGAGTGGTTCGACTGGAACTTGCCGAACTTCGAGCACCGCGTCTGGATCCTGAACGCTAAAAACTACTGTCTGCCGCAGAACAGGCCTCGCGTGTACTTCATCGCGATTCGCAGTGACATGGTGAGCGCCCTCCCTGGCGGCTTCCCAGAGACGCCCATCATGACGGAGCGGCCTGCCCGCCTGGAGGACTTCTTGGCCGCGGACCTTTCGATGGGGGACCTCCTCGGAGCTGACGGCCATTCAGCGCGAGAACATCACGCACGCGTGGGACAAGTTCGACATGATGCTGCCGCTCGAGGACTGGACATGGGATGACTTCCTGCCGCGCCTCCGTCGTCGTTGTCGTCGCAACCGTCGTCGTCGTCGAGGCCTCTGCTTCATGGCCTCGTCGTCGTTGGTACGCCTCCCAGGCCGAGGCCGGGGAGTGATCGGACGGGGGGTCGAGGTCCCCTGGGCCATCCTGGGCCCTTTGAGCTTCCAATGAGGAGGTGGGCGACAGGCCGGGCGTCGAGCGCGCGATCGGCTTCGTGGATTCGTCCCGCAAGTCTAGACAGTCTGGCGGCAAGTTCAAGCAGCACGTCTACATGCATGCGACGCCGACGTTCACGTGCTCAAACACTGCCCTGTGGGTTCTGGGAAACAAGCCGCCGTACGTCGACTACCCTGGCCGCTGGCTCAGTTTCAAGGAGCGCGTGGAGATATCAGGCTTCAAGTGGGAGCAGATCGTGGGGTGCCTCAACACGAGTAACATCCAGAAGGCGTGCGGCAATGGCATGCCAGTCGACATGGTGGGCTGCGTGCTTGGACGGGTCTTCGAGGTGTTCCACAACTACGAGAAGGCGATCGAGGAGCTCCCGCCGCCGAGGTCGCCCTCCCTCGGGCTCGCGAGTCGGAAGCGCAGGAAGTCGAAGGGTCCAGAGACTGAGACGATCATGCAGCATCGCCCGCCCAATGCCTTCAAGTTGCCTGGAGACACCTCGGCCAAGGACGTGCAGGGGGCTATCATCGCGGAGGTGGCGCAGGACCCCAAGGAGGCCAATGACGCGAAGAACGCCAAGCGCAAGAAGAAGACGATCCAGGACTTCTTCGCCTCTGACGTCACCGACCACGAGAGCGGCCTGGTGGTGGCCAACCAGGTTTGCCGCACCGTCACATACTACGGCGACGAGGTGCCCCAGCTGCCCAGGCAGACCTACCAGTGGACCCCGCATGGCCTGAGCGTGTACCGTCCCAACAAGGCCCTTCAGGCCTCGAGCTCCAGCTCGACTGCTTGAGCGCAGACGCCGATTCTCGGCTTCATTTTCTTTATCCCAGCAGCTATTGTTTGCTACTGGGCAGCGCTGTCAGCCACGTGAGGGCCAGGGGTCCAGGTCTGAACATGAAGTCCACCAGGGTCCAGGGAGCCACTGCCAGCACATAATCCAAAAGGGTCTGATCTTCAGGGGGTCTGGAGCCTCTGGGTCTTGCTTCGTGGTCTGGCTTCTGTTTTCTCGGGTTCCGAATCCTGAATTCGAAACCCAGTGGCGCTGGCAGGCTGTAGTGTGACATGAACGCTGGCCTGGCTGTTTGAGTTCCTGTCCGATTGGTGTGCGAGGTCAAGGATCCTCTGCCCTCATCCCCTCTCCTGCGTGGGGCTGGCGTCTGCTCGAAATCTTGGCGCTTGCAGTGCTGCGAGTGTGTTCTCGCTCCTCGTCGCCAGTGAGCCTGCGGGCCTGTGAGAGCATATATCTAAGACGTGGTGCAAGATGCAGTCCGCTGACGACGACGGCGGCGACGATGCGTGGGTGCATATATGTAAGATGCAATGCCCGACGAGGCCCACCCCCCCTCCCTTTCGTATCTCCTCTCCACCTCTACTTCTTACTCCCTCCACCTCCTGCTCTTGCCCCTCGTCTCCTACTTCTCGCCTCGCCCCCCTCTAGCATCCTCCGTCACTTCCATCTCGCTCCCTGATCCCTGATGTCCCTTGGGGGCCGGGTCCAACCATAGCCGCTCGGATGGTCCGAGCCGACGGGGAGCAGCGCCCAGCGCGTCTCGGGCACGGAGCACGTCCACGCGGCAGGTGCCCTCATCCTCTTGGCTCCCCCATCCCCCCTTTCCCCCTGTTCGAAGTCAGAAAACCGTAGCCTTACTCGGGAGGGTCAGCTTTAACCCGATGGCGAACTCGAGAATCGACCAGAAACTCAACGCCATGCTTAAGCCTGGCCCACGAACCCCAACCCCAAACACGAGTTTGCTTTGGGGGCTGCCATCCCCCGTTTCCCAGAGCCTCCTCATCCAACTCATCCCCGAGGCCAGCACCCCTCATCTTTCCATCCTTTTTTCCGAGGTGGAGCCATGCTGATGTCTACGCCAACCCCTGGCACTGGTCCACCGCCGCCGCCAACGCCAGCCTCGAGTGGAAGGGGCAGCGGCAGTCGCTCGCCTTGTCAATCGTCCCAGCTGGAGGGTACAGACACTCCAGATGCCAAGGCAGCGCAGTTATCTTCGCCATCCTTATGCGCAGCCTTCATGGGGGAGTCGGAGGGGGGCCCTGCTCCCTGCGGCGAGTTCAGCTGCTGCAAGTGCGAACTGGTTCTGCCCCTGACCGAAAAGGACACTTCGGACGATAAGAAGAACAAGACCCAGTGCAAGCTCTGCAAGAGGGCTTACAAGGCGCTCACGCGGCGCTGGCAGAAGAACAAGAAGTTGCAGGCGTGGTGGAACAGCAAGTCCAAGGATGCACAGATTGAATGGTATCAGACGGCCCGCCGAGATAATGTAGACAAGATTGGCAACCAAGAGCTGAAGCTCGACCTCGAGATGATCGAGACTAAGGGCACTGAGTCTCGGAGGCGGGTGCACCACAAGCCTTTCGACCAGTACAAGAAGGACTTGTTCATGGAAGGGTTCAGCACGCTGATCGCCCAGCAGAACGAGTTCAGGCGCCGCGCGCAGGACCCGAAGTACATGGTTCGAAAAATTGGCGGGGAATACCACATCGGGGAGTACATGGGCGTCGTCGAGGACGACTTGCATGGGCAGCTTGCCGTGAACAAGGTTCGGTCCACGGCGAAGCAGTTCACCAGCGCCGAAGAGTTGGCTGAGGAGCGGGAGCGGTTGCAGGGGCTCTTCCAGGAAGCGGGGTCTGCCATTACCGAGACGTCGTCCAGCGTTGGCGTCGGAAGCGTCACTGAGAATGTGCTGGGCGACATGCCGCAATCCTGGATCGCTGGATTCATCGAGGAGGGGGAGGCCAGCTCCATGCCCGATAGCTGCCGCATCTTCGACCTGTTCCACAAGGACCTCGAGTCCAAGAGGGAGCAGGTGGAGCGCGAGCTCGAGGAGGCGTTCGAGGCCGAGATGTTCGAGGGCCCCCAGAAGTACGTTGACCCCTTGATCGCCCGCTCCACCTTGTCAGAGGCGATCGAGAAGGCCAAGGGGAAGGCGTCTTCCTTGCACGACAGCGCCGACGAGCACGAGCGCACGGTGACCATCGACGAGCTCAAGCAGCGCCTCGGCCTTGGAGAAGCAGCTCTGGAAGGCGACTGGGCCGAACTCGTGAAGCGCATGGAGGTGGCCAAGAAGGAGTCAGAGAAGGCGAAGGATGAGTTGATCACATCAGGCGACGAGATGCTTGAGAGTGCGAAGGGGAACCCCGACTTTGATTTCGCGAATGCCAAGACCACGCTGAAGCAGTTGGTGGCTGATTACACTAAGCCAGAGGGCGCCTACCGTCGCTTCAAGAAGACCATCTCGGACTCTCAGCGCAGCATCTCGAAGCAGTTGGCCACGGAGCTGCGCACGTCCACTGCAAAGCCGCCGAAGGCCCGCGCCGACTTGGGCACTGGTGGCTCTGGCGGGGCAGAGAGCGCGAAGAGCTTCGCCGATATCTTAGGCGCCTACTTCACGTCTGTGCATGAGTCGCCAGCGGGGTGCACATCGTCTTTTCAGGAGGCTGATTGGCAGCGTGGCGCTCTGATTGTTGGGACCGAGTTCGAGGCGAAGGTGGCTGGTGCCCTTTTCCTCCTCGCCCCCCCTCCTTCCTCGTCCCCCAGCCCCCCTTTCATCTTTCCTCTGCCTGCGTCCCCTGTCCCCAGCCCTCCCTCCATCCACGCATCATCCCTCCTCATGTCTCTTCCGTGTTGTGACCTCATTCCTCTTCCATCCTCCGGCCTCCTTCCTCCTTCCACCACCCTCTCTTCCCCCTCCTCTTCCTCCTCCTCCTTCTCCTCCTCCACCGACTCCGCTTCCTCCTCCTCCTCCTCCTTCCTCCTCCTCCTCCTCCTCTCCTCCTCCTCCTCCTACTCTTCCTCCGCCCCCTCTTCCCCTCGCCCTCCCCGCAGCGCCCGCCTCCGGCCAGGTGGCGGCCGCCAGAGGGTACGCCGACATCATAAGGTCTGGAACAAGGGCGCGAAGGGGGACGTCGAGTACTCCGCGGCCAAGGTGCTCGCGGCCTCAAGTGGAAGGGGGGAGGAGGAGAGGGGGATGGGGTGGCGAGGATGAGGAGGCGCATGAGAAGGAGGAGGAGGAGGAGGGGGCGGAGGAGGGGGAGGATGGAGGATGAGGTCTTCTTATCTAGTTTTGTCTGTCAAGTCGCATTGACAAAAACAAAAAACAAAACAAAAACACACACACACATACCCCAGAGGTGACGCAGGCCGCCGTGTCCCTCACGGCGCTCGGCTACATCAAGGAGCTCCGTGGGGATATTGATATGGGCAGCGCCTGCCCGATGAGCGTTGGTCGGAGCTTCCAACACCTCGTGAAAAAAGACGTCATGGGCGTGCAGAGTTTCGTTGCCAAGCCCGACTCTGGCCATGTCGGTATTTTGCCGTTCGGGTGCAGTGAGATCAGGGCCATCACGAACGGACAGGAACTCGTGGTGGGGATCCCGCACCCTAGTGATAACGATCTTGCGAAGTTCGAAGACTCTTTCAAGAAGATGGGCCCGATGGCCATGCAGCAGTACTTGCAGCAGCACGCCTCGTTTGCCATGGTGGGCAAGGTGAGTAGCATCATGGTTCTTCCAGCAGGCTTTGTGTACGTTATGTTCCGCCCTGTTCTGACCGCGGGATTTCGGTGGTCGATTTGGCCTGCAGCTTGGAACGATGAATGTAAGCGCATTCTGAGGTCGGTGTGTGGAGCAATGGATGCCCTTCCAGGCCTAGAGGAGACGAAGTTTCGGCAATGGCGTTCTTTCCTGTATGAATGCTTGGATTTGCAGTCCATCGTATCTCAGCAGGCTGGTCCCGCCAATGGTGGGGTACTCCTGGACGAAGGGCAGCCGGTGGAGGCTGCAGGTGAGCCCGCGGATGCAGCCGCACCAGCAGCGCCATCCCAGACCTGTGAGCAGCCAGCGCCAGGTGGGCTAGCGGGGCCAGCAGCCGCAGCACGCGCTCCAACGGGGCCAGCAGCGGCAGCAGCCGAGGCAGCCGCGCCGCCAGTGGACCCCGCAGCCGGCGCGAAGTCCCAGCTGGCCGAGAAGCGCCAGCGCGTGGCGGAGATTTCTGGGGGGCACGGCGCAGGCGAGGCTCCAACCAAGCGCTCGCGCCAGGCCGCTCCTGCTGCTCCTGCCGTTCGTGGGAAGCTCGTCTTTCCGAGGACGACGCCTGTTGGCGGCGAGATTGCTGACCAGCTCGAGGCGAAGACCACGATTAATTAGAGGCTGAATATCGCGAGAGTGGTGAATTTTGTTGGCCCCACTCGAGTCGCGTGCCTTTCAGCAGGGGCTGTCTCGCTTTGCCCGAGCAAAGGTGGTGCGCGTCCTCGGCGTGGACGGGGTCGCCCATAGCCGCGCTGGTTGTTGGGTTGGGCCTTCGAGCATCGAGAATCGCAAATGTAATTTTGTGATACACTATACTGTTGTCAATGTGCGTTAATGCAGTTGAGGTTGAAAATGACGGCGTCCATGCGTTTGCAATCTCATTCCGCTTGCAATCTTTACTACCTCCGTTGGAGGAGGGTGATGAGCATGAGGAGGAGGAGGAGGAGGAGGAGGAGGAGGAGGAGGGGGAGGAGGAGGAGGAGGAGGAGGAGGAGTAGGAGCATGAGGAGGAGGAGGAGGAGGTGGAGGAGGGGGAGGAGGAGGAGGACGTGGAGGAGGATGGGTCAGCGTAACAGTTTATATCCCTACGCTTCGCGTAGCGCGGCCCTGAGTCCTGGGCTGTCTTGGTGTCTTGGAGGTCTGTCTTGGAGGGTGATCTTGGGGGAGCGGGGTGTCTTGGGCTGTCTTGGGCCTCTCCCCTCCTCCCTGGTCGTCTTGGGTTGTGCGCGTGTGCGTGGGAGGTACCTGGCCAGGGAAAACGCATCGCCACCAGGGCCGAACAAATCAAGTACCGTCGTCGTTTTCTCCTCCTCTTCCTTATCCTCCTCCTCCTTCTCACGACCTCCTCCTCCTCCTCCTCCTCCTGCTGCTCCTCCTACGTCCTCTCCTCATCTGTCTCCATCCTTCTCCCGTGCCCGTCCTCATCTTTCCTCCTTGGAGTTCGCCCAGGCGCCTTCGGCGCGTCGGCCGCGAGCGACTGCCAGCGTCCACGAACGTCCGCTGGCCCGCCCGAGCGCGGGCCTCTTGCCTGCCGCTGCCTTTCTCCTCCCCCCCCTTTCCTCCCCCTACCGCCTCCAAGACAATTACCCAATATGAGTGCTGCTCTCCTCTGATCTCCGACGCTGCGCGCTTCTTTTTCGCCGTGCCATGTTCCTCGCCTGGCATATGTGTCTGCGTTGTGTTATTTGGCAAGGCTTGCGCAAGTCCCGTCGACCAACACGTTGGCCTTGTCGACCACCGCCGTTATTGCTGCAGTTCCCGCGCGTTTATCAAGGGTGGCGCGGGCTCCAGGTGGAGCGCCTTCGGGCGCTAGTATGATACTTCGGCGCCGAGTGCGCCCCATCGTGGCAGCGTCGACCCTCGTCGAGAGGGTCGGGCGCTCCCAGTGCGAGAACGTTCGACGCGATTGAACGTTCCCTGTGCGAAGAACAACGCCTGCCCGCCCAGGCACATGCGAGCGCCTGGTTGGTATGCTTGCGCGTGATTGGGCCCTTGCCGTGTGGACTCACGGGGGTACTTTGTATCTGCGTATTGGAATGCGCGCGGGGGCGCTGGCGTGGCGCCCCTGCAACGTAAAACAGATGGCGCGCGTAAGCGGCGGGCCCGCGCCATCCGAAACATATCACCCCCAACATGCATCGTGGCACGCAAAAAAAAACGCATAGATGTCATTGTTTTCGCTCCGTTCGAAAGCGATGCCGCGGCGCGATCGCCGCTGTCATCTAAATTGTTGGCGCGGTTTTCCAAATCAGTGCTGCGCAGGAATCATTAGAGCTGGTTTCTTTGCGCGCGCTCCCTGCGATGTGTTTCTCCGTTGTTTCTGGTGAGCACGACCCATGCGCCTCTGGCCGCGGGAGGGGCGCCGCCCGCCACCCCCGCCAAGTGGATCACTGATGCCCAAGATGGTTGGAGACGCCGCCAAACAGACAACGCGGGAACCAACGTTCATCCCACGACCAGGAGGCCCCCGGATACTCTCAAGAGGGCCCCAATACTGCTCCAGAGGACCCCAGGATGTCTGGAGACACCCCGACAAAGCGTCACCACCAAGGACAACGCGGGAACCAACGTCAGGTGCCCTTTTGGCACCTCACGTGCAACGCATGGACCTATCAGAACTAGTGGCCCGCATGCACGTTTTTCTTTGCAGCCCACTTGCTCGCAAGCCACGCGCCCCCCCCCCCCCCCCCCCCCCACAGTGGCTCGCATGGTCACGTGCTGAGCCCGCATCGCAGGAGCCCCCATTTGTCCTCCAAGGTCGGGGTTCGTGGTCATATCAAATGTTTTCGGCCCAGCGCTTGTTTGCGCGACCTTCAGCGGTTGGTGAAGTTGCGCTTGCCTCGATTGCCGCCGTCGCATTGCTATTTGCCCAGATTTGGGTTTTAATGTTTCGCCCTTGCGAATTGTATTGATTTTGCTGGTCGTGCTCGCATCGTCGTTCTTCGCGGTCGAGTTGTTTTGGATTTCGTTCGTGCCAACCGTGCTGCTCGCACCTTTTTTTTCGGAGTGACCTACTTGGGCATGAAACGTCGCGCGGGCTCGCATGCTTTCGCGATCGTATAGTTGCGCTTCTACCAACGCTACGCTATTCATTTTGGGTTGAAATCGTTGATTTGTTGATTGGCGTTTTGTCGCCGAAAGCTTCGCCAATATAATGTTATTGCTGCTATAAGCGACAAGCAAGACAGCAAATCGACGCGACTACTCCCAGCAGTGACCACCACCGCAGCAAATCCTGACAGGACACCGCTACGAGGCAACAGGGCTCAACCCATTTACGCACTATTACTCCCCCAGCAGGCGCGGCGAAACCGCGACGTCCAGCACCGCCTCGAAACCGACCCCACTACGCAGCACGCACGAGCGACGACTTCCACATCAACCGAGCAGTAATCGAAGTCACCGAAGCCTGGGCCACGCGGACCACGCGAGGCGAAGTTGCAGCAATCATTGCAAGCATCAGCGAGACCATTTGGACAAATCGTGACACCCGCCGCACTGCCGACCAGGTTCGGGGCACCTTGCGCCGCCCGACATCGCTGCTTGCAGAAAAAACCGCTCGCAGACCGCAGGATGCAGTACCTCCTTCTCGCATTGCCAGTGTCTTTGCACACTAAGATCCCAGCCATCATGTTCACCAGACAAGCCAAGCAAGGCACAGGGACCAACATTCGGCACATACCACAATTAAGACAATCTTCACAGCGACACAGACTGCCAACCTCGGCTCATTCGCCTTTGGCAACCCGACACCAACACCAACCAGCCTTTCAACATTGCACATGCCCGAGCTCACATCCGCCGCGCAACAAATGCGCAACCACACTATATTCGACTGTGGAGCATATGTTCCCGCAGAGAAGCCCCAACCATGTTTGTTGATCGTATTGTTTACGGTTATGGGGCTATCGGGCTGTGGGGCTATATCGGGCTATCGGGCTATACGGCTATGCGGCTATACGGCTATACGGCTATGCGGCTACACGGCTATACGGCTATCGAGCTATAAGGTTATAGGGCTATACGGCTACAGGGCAATTTGGCTATATGGGGTATAGGGCTATTCAAATATTAAGGCTATCAGGCTATAGGACTATAAGGCTATAGGGCTATAAGTCTACCGGGCACCTCCGGGCCCCCCTGGGCACCTCTGGGCACCCCCGTCCACCCGGGCACCCTGGCCGGCCGCCGAAATCGGCGACCCACCTCACCTAACCATATGAAATCCGTTAGGACCCCTACAGAGGCAAGCCCTGCCGGGGGAATAAACTTGCAGCGGACACGCCAAGGACTGGAAGCCACATCGTGCCGGTAACCCTATGCAAGCTACTTGCCGATTGCATTGCAAAGAAGCTTTCGCTATGCCCGAAACCACATGCATCAGTCGGCCACAACGGGCATTCACCATTTGACCCGTACGTAGAGCTCGACATCACAGCGTGCCACGCGCGCCGACCCTTCAGCGGGCACGACACACCAGATCATTACACAGCGCAGCCCACTATACAACCACGACGCCTACGATTACGCAGCAGACCCACGGCAGTAGAAACCCACGCGCCTCATGCCCGACATGGGTGCCCACGCTGGCATACCTCGGGGAGAGGCAGGCTAGCAAAATTACAGATAGCCATGTCACTAGAGTGCACTGTCGTACCATAGGTATGCTGTTAGAAATATCTGGCGCTACTACTGGCCAAGTTACGCGACGAGACTCGGACAAGCGATGGTGCCAACAGTTGATTATTCTGCACTTGAATATTGCACCCGATACCTTCCAGCGCAGCATCATGCTCAGCTACTTCGCAGGACCAAGCACGCTCACGCATGGCGATCACATCACATGCTCTCGCACGCCTCAGTCTCGGCAGGGCATATAAGAGGATCGTGCGACTCGTGCCGCGCATGCACAGTGTCACGGACACATGGGTACGCTCTGGGTCAATGATACACGCTGATACAGGCAGGCGCGTTACAATAACAGGACTTGATGTATCGATATCAATCGGCTTGCCGTAAGACGTTGGTGGTTGTACATGTGCAGAGACCAAGTCTCACACGTGCCGTTGTTGATTTTCGCTGCAATCTATCAACCGCGCCCCCTGATGTCTGTCCTACCAGCACCGCGAAGCACCGCGCTGCACATCTACAGTCTACCCGCCCCATAACCTGGCATGGGAGCCGCAAGGCGCACCTCTGGTAGGAGCACGAAGGCGACGCACCACGGACCTACATGGACTCGACAGCCCCATGCTTCTCATGGGGGCCGAAAGGCACACCTCAGGCAGGGGTAAGATACGCAGCGCCATCTAGCAACGCGCAGCGCAGACACGACGGACACTGACCAGCACGCGCGACAAGCAGACCAACGGAAACACCCGACAACGTACTTCATACCCTGAACGGGAGCCCACGCGGGCACACTTGGGGAGGGGCGACGGCTCAGAAGGCCTTCGGTAACATCAGACAGCCATCTTGGATCCTACATTCCGCCACTCCGCCAGCAATCAACACCTACTGGGGTCCATATTTGTTGATAGCGCAACTCCGCTTGGAACTTCGACGACTACTTGCCATTGAGGATCGAATGGTGACAATGAGATTTACCATACAGACCC